GAATTTTCGGTCGCGACCATCTCGTTGCTCCATTTTTCTAACGAATAGGCGAAACGATATCGTGAATTCGAACTTGTCCCATGCTATCCAATTTATTAAGCCGGGAAAACCTCTAACAAAATACTAACGACCAACGTGGTTAGCCAGTCCCGTGCGGTGCAAACTGCGATAATAAAATGATTGTTGGCCCCGAGCCAACTCGGGAACAGTTGCAAACGTCGAGAAAGTATCGGTAAAAAGGGCAGAACCTTTCGATGGTCACGTACTCCATCGCGATTTCTTTTATTTCTCTACCGATGCAGGGACGTATCGGTGATCGCGAGTAATTTATGTTCAAAATGGCTGGACATGCACGCTCACCACGGATAATCGGTGTAATTACGAACGATCGGAAAGCGAACCATTTCGGAGCATGTATTAACGCGTGCAATGAAATTAACGCGAGTATTTTTACGTGAGAACGCTTCTGAACCGCTGATCGTTCCTTTCTTGCTTCTTCCTCGTCTTCTTCGTCGCCTTCTTCGTCTGGTTCGATCAACAACAACTTCATTCTACATACGGAAACCAGATCGATGACTACGATAGCAGCTTTGTTTAACAAGCCGATCACGTATGATGATCGATGAATCTTTGTGTCGTTATACTTGTCACAAAGTTGAATTTTGTCCCGAAGGCTCACTTGTCTTTTAATTTGCCACTCTTAACTGGCTACTTTGCTCCGCTCCACCTGCTGCTCTCTTTCGTCGTTAAATATAACTAGGTTATTTCGCAGATTTTTTTCCCGATAATTCGTCGCGTGTAGTTTTAGTGCAACGAGTATCGATAAATTGATTTTAAAATACGATACGGTGATCGTCCCATAAGAAAAAGAAAAGAAAAAGAATACGCGAAATTTATGGCGTATCTTGACCTATATAACTCGGCAAACGTAAAAATAACTAAATTCTGTATCGCTGCCGATACGATCTTGTAAACTCAACAAATAAAACGAACACATTAGAGAAACACCTATGAAGCAGACAAAAAGAAACGAAAATCGTAAAATCGAAATAAATAGAACCTCTCAAAGCCTCTCGACGTTCGTGAGTAGACAAGGTGCAACCTCGATCGAAAAAGAAAATAAAAATGAACGATGAAAAAGGGTAAACGAGAGGAAAAGAAAAAGCAATTTAATGGGATGGAAAAACAAACAAGCAGCGCAGAAGGAGATGAAAGATCGTCGTGGTGGTCGTGTCGCTTTGTCGTTCGTGTAACAAGATCGACGATTGCCTGAGATGGGGATGGCAATTACACGGAATTTGCTCTTTTTTATACACTTTCGACGGTGCTATCGGCATGAAAACGAGGCGTAACGAGCGTTTAATGGCCGGTCCCACCCCATGTGGCCCGATTTCGATTGGAGCCGTTCGGGTAAAAAAAAAGATTTAATTAACCGTGTGGAAAACTAGGTCGCGCGACAATGATCCCGAGGACGAGCCGCTCCTCTTCTCGCTTGGCTCGGTAGAAAAATCGCGGATGAGGTTGTGCGCACGAGGTCTTACTCACGACGCGTTCCTCGACGATGGAGACGCGATTACCATGCTAACTGCGTGATTTACCTCGATCGAGCGTGAAAGGGCGTATGGCTAATCTCGAGAAGAACTTTCACGCCCGCCGGATGATTGACTTTTTCTTCGTTTCACCGTTGGGCTTGGCGATATTTTAATCGCGTCACTGGGCTGAATTCGAAATCGTTTTCTCCCTTTCCTCTTTCATTTGCCATTCTTCCGTTCCTTCGGCCATTACCGTTGAAAAATTAGAAACGAACGAGGCCAAGCGAAATAAAGATGCTTTGTTAAGTTAATTACGAAAGAAGGTATTATTTCTCTTGGGGCAACGAACGAGACGGGTCCTTACAGTAAATTTCACCGGTCGGGCGTTTAAAAGAGCTCGGAGCCAAAGAACCACGAGCCTTCGAAAGACATTCGCGATAAATTTCAACCGGCGATAAATTTCGACTCGCGGTACCGGTCCGATTTCGGGTCGAACTACGCACGAGCTACGAGTTTTCAGGAAATTCCGGATTTTAGTTACGATAGGACAAGGGCCGTGTGTTACGTGAAAGTAGACAGAAATACAGTTGGAAAAAGAAATGGATTCACGATGTGTTTCGCGGCGAGGGGCACGGTTTGTCCCCGCGAGTACCTTTCTCCAAAGCAAGTCACGCGCGAGTTCCGCGCGTTCTTACGCACTTGCGTAATGCATAATCGGTGGACGATGCGAAAAAAGAGGGTTATCCGCCTGCAGTACCGTACTCCGCCTCCTTTCTCCCCTTCCTCGTCGATCTATCGCGACGAAACTTCGCGTGAGATCAACGTGACAGCGAGTTTTTCGTGGGCGAGTTCGATCGACCAGGACCTGAAGAATTTCACGAGCCGACCCACCGAACACCATCGATCAATCGCGCTTTTTCGGCTTCGCGTTCAAAAAGGAGAACGCTCTCGCGTGGAAAAATATGGCCGGCAAGATTTATCTGCGGAGCGTAAAAATTCGAAGTTTCGGCCGTTGCTGTCAGCGAACTTTTTTGCCCTTCTTTCCCAAGATCGGCGATGTTTAATGGAGCAGCGAAGAAGACGGTAAAGCCGGATGAACCATAATTTCATATTTTGCACGCCTTTGGTGCTCTAGACTTCTTGTAGTTTTAAAATATACGACAGCTGCCTGGCAAATATTTCATCTGTAATCTGAGCGCGCGAAGATTTGTTTGTGCCTGGTAGGAGCGTTGGGTTCCCACGTTTTCTCAAGAGCATTAGAGAAGAACGAAAGAATAGACTAGAATCTGGAACGTATCAAGAAGATACAGTGGGTCATGGAAATATTTGTGCGCTTATCACGGAGCATCTTCTCGTATATATCGTAGGAAGCATTTTGAAATTTCGTTAGCATTGTAATAATACGCCCTATCGTTACGATCTTCCAACTTCTATATACATTTTTAAATCGGCTTCAAATTTTACCGACATAATCGCGATAGTCCGATCCTATTCCAGTGCGGATGAAATTTCAAAACGTTTCGTACAACACGCATAATCGTGGCATGGAATAATACCAGAAGCAGACTCCATCGAGTATAAATTCATTCCGACAGGAATGTCGATATCATTCGACATCAAACCAGGACAATATCACTTGCACCGGTATAACTTGATGTTAATAATCTCTTGTCATGCATAGATCCACTGACACGTACATGCGTGAAGATCAACTTGTATAGACACAGAAAACGAGATCGTATGTACGCGCTCGTTGACTTTCGGACGTTGCATGAAACGAGAGTCGAAAGTTTCAGCCTCGTCGATGCAAACGCGAGGTTGAATACTCGTCGACGCTGGATTAGATACTCGAAGGGAACACGATGCGCTGTTTCACCAGGGAGCAGCTCTTTCGCTCTATGCTGCTTCGTTCTCTCAAACGTCGGACGGTGGCCAAGAATCGGCCGACTTTCTTCCGTAATCCCCCTACCATCGGATAAGGCATGGTTTTATTTGCGGTTGACAAAATCCTGGTGCTACGGTGTCATCCACGAGGCTTCGAGGATCGGGGAAATTTGAGGGGAAAATTTCGGAGAAGCGAGCTCTCGCGGATCGTCGCGACGGAACATGAATTTTTATTTCCATCCGGTTGGTAGCTCGCTTCCAGAAAATCGGCACGAATGGAACGTCTTAAATCTTCATCTCCTTTCGGGCGCGTTAGAATTCTCGACTTTGCGTTGTGCAATGGGCCAAGAGAATTTTATTTAATTTTCAGTTGCAAACGCTGTTTGTCGCGTATGTTCGAGTTACAACTACCAGAATTGTTAGAACGAATAACTGCAGATAGGTCAGATTTTTAAAAGCTTTTGATTAAAGTTTGTATCTCTCGTTGCGTTACACGTTTTTCTCTATGCTTTTCGTTTCGATTACTTCTAAAAAGTTCTAGCCTTGAATATTAACTATAACTATAAAAAGTATCCAAATATATCAATGCCGGGTCGATGTCCTAACGACGAGGGAATGGATATCGAACGTAACGCGAAAGATCCTTAAAAAGACGACGATTGCCGGCAATCGAAAGGAACAGTCCAGTCGGTCGAGTTCCGCGCGCCTCCCCCTTTTTCGAATCGTTTTCGCGGCTAGTGCTCATGCGCCTGGGCAACATATCACCGCGTCGAAGTAGCGTCGGGGACTGTGAATGGGACGACGACGCCGACGGCGACGACGCTCGACGTACGAGCTACGAGGGAAAGAGGACGAGCAGAGAGAAGTCAGTCTGGCCGCGCGCGCCTACGATCACTGTCGACC